TCCCTTTTGGTTACTTTTTTTTTCTACTCACCAGTTTTCTGAACATTTCCATCATCAATACTTCCCCCTGGTGAGTCAGTCTGGAATTCACAATCTGGAGGCCTGTAGCCTGGAAAGCATTGACAATTCCCAACATTATTACAGACCTAAAGGAAAAAAAATCATATAATCATCAGAATATTAACACAAAATTTCATGTTAGCCATTAAATATGCTATAAATACATAACCATCATAGTGCAAATTTAACTTTTTTACTTAAAATTATTAAATCTAATAATACGTGAACTATGTTGGAAACAGAATGGCAGTTTTTAAGAACAAAACTGTGGGAGTGGCAAATACACTGCTTGCATGAATGTATGTATAGTCCCTCCAGATTGATGGTTTTCATTAGTATTCTGTCATCCTCAAACAATTTTCTAAATCCAGTTATTGGTAAAGTTATAGCTATTACATTGAAATCATTAGAATCAAATTTTTTCACAAATATTCTCAGTATTTTTAAAAATAGTTCCTCTCCCCAATTTTATGCTAATACTTCCACATCTCTGATTTTATTTTCCTTACAAAGTATTTTAATAAAATAATTGTCAATTAACTAGGCCACTCTTTTATTTTTAAAGACCATTTTATTGGGGCTCATACAGCTCTCTTAACAATCCATACATCAGCTGTATCAAGCACATTTGTACATATGTTGCCATAATCATTTTCTAAACATTTACCTTCCTTCCATGTGAGCCCTTCGTATCAACTCCTATTTATTCCCCACCCTCCCACCCTTGTGAACCCTTGATAAATTATAAATTATTATTATTTTCATATCTTTTACTGACAGCTCTCTCCCTTCACCCATGTTTCTGTTGCTCAAACCCCTGGGTGTGGATGTGTCTGTGTGTGTGCGTCATTCATTGCAAGGGTTCCCCCTTCTTTCCCTCCTCTCCCAACCTACCCCCTACCCTCCCACTATGCTACTCCAAGTTCTGTTCCTGAGGGGTTTATCTGACCTGGTTTCCATGTGCTCTGAGCTCTTATCTGGACTAGTTTACATGCTACAGTCTAGCCAGAACTGAAAGGCAGGACTGGGGTCATGATAGTGGGGGGTAAGAACCAGAAGAATATTGTGTGCTTCATCAGTGCTACACTGCACCCTAGTTGACTCATCCCTTCCTTGTGACCCTGACTAGGCCACTTTTAACTCTTAGCTTAGTCTTTTGTATCATTTGATACTATTGATCAGTCACTGGTATTTAACTTTGTAGTCAATATTTTTCAAAAATAACATAACATGTGGAACGGTAAATATTGATAATGTCAATAAAATAAACTTTATAGCTTGCCTGTCTAATCTTTGCAATCTGAAGTATAGCCATATTAGTTGTTCTTTTACATTTCAATCTTTTCAAACAATCAAGTGCTATAGATTTGACTCTGACTCATGGCATCAACGTGCATGACAGAATCCACATGAACTCTATGAGGGTTTCTAGGGCTGCCTTTTCTGAAGTAGATCCACCATGTCTTCTTTAGAGGTGCCTCATGGACAGAAACCAGCCTCCAACTTGTCATGTTAACAACAGAATGCATAACTATTTGTACCACCCAGACATGCCTATTCATCAAAACTTTAATCGTATTTTTATTTCAAAGTAAATCAAATATATATGTATATGTAATATTTAAGCGATGAAATTCATAGTCCTTTTCCACTAACTTAATCCCACTCCTCACTGCTAAGCACTTTCTGTATTTCATTCATCTTAACTCAATGATAAACACACAGACTTATACACATTCATGGGATTCTACCCCATGAGATAGCATCAGTAAATATTGTACCATGACACATAACTCTGAAAATATAGAAGTGACAGTTTTAAAGTATGTTTGTAATATTCAGTAGTTAAGATATTCCTGAGATACTCCTTATAGACATTATGTTTATTCCATTTACCCATATTTTGCCATATAAAACTTTTAAAAATTTAAAACACTTCCTACATGTCAAAGAAAATATTAATAAAATGAGTTTTATTTGTAGCCTTGCATTTTGTACAGGGATGCACTCTCTTGTGTATTCATAACTCTATTGTTGAGCATTTAATATACTTCTAATAATTGTGTGTGTGTGTGTGTGTGTGTGTGGTAAAGCATCAAGGTTTAATACATATCAATAAACAGGAGATAGAGGAAACTGAGTATCTTCCAATATTGCCTCCTTAAGCTTAAGGGGGGAAAGTATTTATAGAAATCTTCACCAGAAGGTAAAGGACTTAAAGAATTTCAGGAATTTTTTTTCAGCTAAGCAGATTTATTTTTTATATTTATTATTATTAAAGCTAACATTTCTCTGATTTTCAACTTTATTTTTATAGCTTTATTGACAAATGATGCTCACACCATATATTCCAATGGTTTAAATATATTTCAAAGAA